ATCGATAATGATATAAACGTAAAAAAACACCGAAAGGACATTAAGTAAGATTCCTACATTTAAAAAATCTTTCCCACATGGATCGAATTTTTATACCGGAAACATCTAATACATTCCATTCTGAACAAGTTTTACCCAATGAATAGTCAAATCATATGCAATGAAAAAAGGAGAAATAATATAAAATGAGATAAATGTATTTATCTCGTGAGTGATTTTCTAAAATTTTCATAATTAATTAATCGAGAAATGAGATTTCCCTCTTCCAATGTGGAACAGATTATCAAAAATATTAACAACTTTCAGAATGACACTATAAATAAGGATAACAAAGTATATAAAAGCATTATAACATACATATTCCTATACTCTCTAAACAAATATTGACATCTAATATTCATGATCAATCAAATTATAATATCACACTAAGATCTGGAAATAGAATGAACACACTGTATTCCAACTTAAAAACAAAAATAAATAACTTGAACAAATCAAATGTAGTATACCAAATCAGTTGAAAAGGTGACGGGTACCACGTATATGACCACGTATGTTGGAACGATCAAAAATAAATTAAAAACTAGAATGGCTGGTCATAAACACAGCATAAAAAATAAGGTCGGTATGGAAGCCAAAACAGCCCTTGCTTCACATTGTATTTTTACACACTATGAGCCGGATTTAGAAAATGTGAAAATTCTACACCAAGAAAATCTAAAAAATTATTTATCTAATAGGAATACTCAGTGCGAATGCTGTTATTAAAATTGAGTATATCTCTATGAATATTTATTGTATGATGTTACATTTTTGGTAAAGTTCATAATTACTAAGAATATATTTACATATTCAAAAATATTTAGATATTTTTTAAATTTATCTAATATTTTAAATAACTATATATTAAATATTTTAAATAACTATACATTAATTTATGCACCCTGTATATGTCTATGTAAAAAAAAGTTAAAAGACCGGTATATTTTTATGAAGATTTTGTATATAAAATATATAGTAAACTCTAATAAAAGTAAACTTCTACGATGAAAAGAGACAACTCTACCAAAAATGTATTGTTATTTGTGCGCATGTAGATGTTACATATAGAAAAGCATGTTGCATGCTTATGGATTTCATAACATTGAATATTTTACATAGAGCATGTAAAGTAGGGGTTGATGTGTATGAAGGTCTGTTTCCACCACCAAATTACCACCCCATGATTCTGTGTTAAATAATTAAACTGGAAAACTTGCTCTGAATTAAACGTAGTTGTCTATTCAAACCAGTTGAATATATTTCGTTTCAATTAAACATTTTTTCAATACAAATACACGTATATAAAAATATGTATATGACGCTACTACTTGCGTTTGTAATGTAATACGGTTAACAGTTAAGTACCGAGGTAGATTTGTTCTTGGTACTGCACCAGGTACCAGGTATATAACTGTTTTAAAGTTCATTTTGTCTACCCTTGGTCTAGACAAAAAAGTTTATTTGACCTTGGTCCCTATTGTTTTAAGAACTTGAGAAAAGTTAATGCTTATTGCAGTAGCTTTAACATGAGCCTACTATGGCGCTCAAATAACCTAATTACGTATGAATTGCATACTTGTTAACATTTACAGAAACTATTTATACAATATAGGACATTCATAGGTAAATGTTTACAAAGTTTGAGAAGTGCTCAATGAGAAGTAAGAAATATTACATCTATAAATTATTTAAATACATTAATAAGAGCATTTTTATTTATTCAATGTTATGAAAGTATAACTGTTTTAACGGTTTTATGGTAGGAAATTATAACATTATAAAAGTACGCGAATCGTAGATTAATATTAGCATGGCTTTCTCCGTATTACGTTCTTAGATTAAGTTCTATCAGGTTCTTATAATGCCTCTACAAAAAAATAGTATTGAAATTTAACAATTAAAAATAAAATTAATTAATTCAATTATTCAATAGTTGGTTTATGATTTAGTTCTAATATAAACACAGCAAGTGAATTTGTTAATGAAAACTTCACAGCAAATTAACAAAACTCCAGAAAAATGTGCGAACATAAAAGTCAAGTACGGCTTTTGTGTCAGGTGGCTAATGAACACTGACTCTGAGCTTCAAATTTGGCAGGACACGACTTTAACCCTTGGTACGTGCAGTTTCAAAAAAAATTATAAGATGTAAGAAATAATTTCCACTGATGATAGGTATTTGGTACTACAGGAAACAGCTGTATGGTCAGCCAAAAATTCAAATAATTAAAATATCAAAAAAAGAATTTTTGTTTCTGTAGTTCACTATTTTGCGATAGAATCCTCTCTAATATAAAAATAAATAAAATATTCAAAGCTTAAATTAATATTGAACATTAAAATATACACTACTAACTAATAAAGTCATGACATGATAATCGGTAGTGTTAAGTTGAATTGTAAATAATGCATTAATTACTATAAATTATGTTGAATAATGTCAATACATAACATATATGCATTCTTCATTTTTAAAAAACAAGATTAATGTAACTAGAAAAATATGCACTAGAAGAAGAAGGTGACGGAACTTATCATCCAAAATAATGTCGTGTCCTTTTCATTTTTGGTTGAACCCAACAAAAGCATAGGTTTTTGGTATATGTGCTTGGCATTTTAAATGTATATAATAATATTTTCAACGAAATTTCTGTAATTATTTTTTGCAAGTCTATTGCAAAACATATAAAAATAAGTAATTAATGTATTGTGGAAGGATAAATTTACAAGATATAAACATTTTTAGTAATTCAAAATAAACCTATTCAAAAATTTAACAACGTTGGTTTTAAAGTGAACTCTTTATGCAAAATTTGTAATTATTTTCAGTCTCCATAAATTTAACAGAATACCGTTAAAACACACGACTTTCTAATTTTGTATACTCTTAAAAATTTAAACAAATCTGCTGCTAAACCAGGTCGTACTATATGCCAGTTAGGAACACGGAAATTAGAGCTTCCGTTCTAGTATCGTTATGCCGCTAATAACAAAAAATGTCTATAGCACTCGCACCAACTACCTCAGTTATACGGAGGAGCAGCGTCTCTTAAAGTAAAAAAAAACGAACTAGCCTTTTTGTACATAATTTTATTTACTTTATTTATGTTATTTTGGAATTATTCTAATTGACCTGAGCAGTTATATTAAAAATTTCATATTCTACAAAAGAAATCATATTTGTATTAAACTAATACTTTTGAGAAATATTTAAGTTATGGAGTTATGAAATTATATTTCCTAATTGATTATAAATCTAAATTAGTTTTGAACAAATTGTTGTTAAATACATTTGGATATACAGTATCTCATTCTAGTAAATATCACTAAACTTTGATAGTTTCTATTTTATTGTATTTTAAATAATAGCAGCTGCAAATTATATTAATAACTAATAAAATAATATTCAACACCCACAAATAACACACCTCGTAAATGAGTACATTAGAGGTACAACAAATATTATTCTGCGTTTTTTAAATTACTGGATACGAGTATAAAGTACAAATGTTAAAAAAAAATACTAGTTAACTAAAGTCAGCTTTAGTTATTCACAGTTAAATACGTATGTTGTTATATATTATAGGTCGGGTAAGTGCTCTGTTACTGGAGAAGTAATTTTTTCAATTTAGTATTCTTTCTATCGATTTGTGACTTATTGTTTTAGTCCCAGTATGACCAAACACGCTCCCGTTTTAAATGCAAATTATACATGCTCAAATATTCATACAAAATTGTAAATACAGAGGATTCTGATATCGTTAAGGTATTAGCTATCTCCCGTAACTTCATTTTAGGCTTTCACAACTATTTCATGATAATTTATGTTCAACAATTGTCGGAACAATTGCTAATCAAATTTTGTAAAAGAGCGTTTAAAATCCCCATACTAGACAATAACAGTTGATGTTTATTGGCACGGATTCTACATAACACTAATCCAGCCACTGTTTGAGTTCAATAATATTTTTCCGCTTCAAAACCAATGTTAAATCAAAACATGACATTTTTTTTATCTTTTTGAAATTACAAATTTGCAGTCACCAAAACCTCTGTAACTTATAAACTAATTATCAGAATATTATAAAATTTCGGTGTATGTATCTTTCAAAGCAGTGGTTCGCAACCGGTGGTCCACGAGACGGTTAAAAATGGTCCGTGAATAAAATTGAAAATATATGGATACATAGTTTGTCCTATGAGGCCTTACTTATAAGCGTTTATATAATTCACTATACATTATTCCAGAGATGCATAAGGCGTATTGAAATAATCATAAAGTTTATTATTCTTAAACTTTCTAGTCCGTACTAAAAAAAAAAATATTATAGTGATCCTTGGTCAAAAAAGGATGGGAAAAAAATTTCTCAACAATGTCACCAAATATGTGTCAAACTGAGAATTTATTGGATATTATAAATGTTATATTTATGATTATATTATCGTGACTTTGTCAATATGATTCTAATTTGATTAAAGTTTAATGGTAAATTTATTTAATTTAGTAAGCATTAAGTCTTTTCTGATACATAAATTGCTTATTATACAAATTAAATTAATTTCAATTTTATTATATTAAGCAAAGTTTGATTGGTTCTTTCCTACTAAAGAACTTCTAACACCCCTTTGGATAAGAAATTTTAAATATTAAGCAAGTATTATTTATATCAGAAAATGAAAATGTTTTACCAGTTTTTCTAGTTTTGTATTACAAGTAGACATAATATTAAAAATATTTTAAAGATATATTGTTACCACTGGCAAACTTTCACAGTGGATACGTACTCATTCAATTTATTTATAATTCAATGACTCTGAAATAAAATCAAATATATTTCAGAAAGATGAGCATTTTTTTGAAATTCTTGATGGCATTCAAAGAAAATAAAATTGATTGATCAAAAAAAATCGAAATATGTGATTATAAGAATGCATTAATGTTATATGTTATCACTTACCATATAAAAAGGGAAAGCGTTAAACAATTGCAAAACAATGGGTTGTGTGTAGAATATATAAAAAGTTGATTTATCGTTGTTTAAATTTTTGATATATACTAATTTTATAGTAAATATTAATATATTTTAAAATTAAGTTGTAGTTATTGATTTGCTTTGATAAAACTTAATTCGATTTGTACAGCTGAACACAAAATCGTGATGTCCTTTAAAATGCAATTTCAAATTAATCTTGCGAATCCATTGCCTAAAAATAAAAATGAATAATTTCTTACATTGTAAATATAGTTTTAAGACATTTACATTTAATTTATATAAAATAATTTATTTTGCAGAAAACACTGCGAAAATCTTGTTTTAAGATAAATTTGCAAAACAACATTTAAGGATTATTTCATCTTCATAAAGTAAATAATTTTTCTTACTCATCGGTTTTGCACCTAAAATTTTTAAACTGACTGATTTTAAAATTTTTATTCATTTGTAAAAAATATATACATAATCACATACGAATTCCATTTATCAGCAGCCATATAAGAAAAGAAACTGTCTATTATGAAAATTCCGATGTCTGTGCTTCTAGAAGAACTAAATGGCGGTTACTTTAGGTGTCTCTTAAAGAACTTCCGTTAACAAAGTCAATTTAAGTTAAATGACATAAAGTCAATTATTTTCAATATTTGAAGGGTGCAACTTTAAAAAGTTAATAACAAATGGATCAGACGGCTAAATTATAGCTTATAGCTATAAGCTTTATATATATAATATAATTGTTATAAATTTCTATACAACGAATTTAAAATGAAGTAAAATAAAGCTAAAATATTACTACTACTACTAAAAACGGATCAGTCGCATATTGTGCAATAAGTATTAAATGGTTAATTATAGATTTCTTAAGTTTAGCTAAATGTTGAACTAGATAATCTCTGGTTTCATGAAATATTTGGAAATTTTGTTAAACCGATTTTAGTCAGTGAAGGACCATGTTGTACAGTCACTCATATGACGAATATCCATAATCGTTTTACTCTTTGTACTCCGACGAGGTACAAAAAGCTTCTCTATCATGTCTAAAGTTTAATCTATACATATTAAAGTCAAAAAAATCAGTATAACCAAAATTCACAAGTTATGCGTTTCAGCACAATCTCACAAACTAAGAGAACTGAGAATTCAAAACTCCTACTTTTTATTTATAAATTGCAAATCGTATAACAGTATATAATTACTATTCCAGCAAATGAGGAGGTTCTGTTGATTGTATTTGTGAGGGGCTATTTTATTCGCTCTACTTATCTTATACCAAATATGAAGTTAATACCATTATCAATACAAAAAATCAGTTCTGATTGCTATGTATCAGCTATAAAATATATCAATCCGATTACAGTCTATACAATTGAAACTAGTTTTTTATAATATTGGAGAGAATAAAGAATAGTTTCAAAAACTAAATATGATAGACTTTAGAATTACTTTGGAAAATGCTTAGTTTCTTAGACATGGTTTAAAAAAGGTTACAGTTGTTGTTTATTAGTTTAATCTATATTTGCGCTGCGTTAATGGCAATTTCAGACACTGCGAAATATCTATCATCAGTATTTTAATTGAAAGTATTAATATTTAAATATATATATTTCGCTACCAATGTAGGGGATTGAACACTGTCAATAGAGATAGACATGTGAAATATTGATAATATTTACAAAATCCTTAAATTGCATCTATAATTTTGTTAGAGAGGTTTCGAAACGTAATGAACTACAACAACAAACATTTTTTTTCTTTACATTATTTAATTGAATTTTTGGCTGACTGTACAGCTGTTTCAAGTGTTGCCAAATACCCATCATCAGTGCTATTGGAATTATTTCTTATATTTAATTATTGATAAATAGCTTTTTGAGACTTTAAGTACCAAGAGTTAAACTCGTATCCTGCCGAATTTCAAGTTGAGCGTCATTAGCCATTGTTACAAAGGCAATTTTTTATTTTCCCCATCTTTAAATAGTTTCTATACTATTGTTAAAACTTGTGAAAATCTGTCAAGGGTTACGAAACAATTTTAGTATATATGGTCGATTATTACTGGATATCACGATTATCACTGATGACAAATGACTTTTGAATTCATGAGTGGTCAGCTGTACGTTCCGTCGCAACTAGTCATTAACGACTAACTGCTGGCGGTCACAATATCCGTCAGAACTTCAATGAATGATTTTATCTAGAACGAATTAATTACCCGGGCTATAACCTTACATATGTCTATTAGTAACTGAAAGAAATTTAAATGCACTTTACTTTAATATTTAAAAATATATTAAAACTATACTCTAATATATATCCTACATATATATCGCCAATATAATGTGGGGAAATAAAGAACTTATTAAAACATAATGCATAATAACATAATTATTTTATAACAAGATATATCCATTGTATATTTTGTGAAGGATCTTGATCTAATTGACTACATGACTCCTGTCTGTCTGGATGTGTATATGATTCTAGGGAAGTTGGAGTTTTTCTAAGATGGACATAAATAGATTAATGCATACATTTTTAGAATAGGCATTAACCATTAGTTATAATGACCGAAAATGGATGATGAATTCTAAACCTCGATACATATCACACAACCGGAAAATTTTGGATTCGTTGTTCTTAAAGGTAAATAATTATATGTTAAAAAAATTTTATAAACTTGGATATATTAGTTTTAGTCGATTTATATTTAGATATGGTTGCCATGAAAACTAACATTTGAAATATATAATAGGTGTAGTAAAAAGAAATCCATTATTTTTGCATAATATTGAAGGTTTATTTACTATAGATAGAATGACTCGATTTACTTCCAACCAAGCTCCTGCAGCTTTTGGCAAGTCATCGATGTCGATATCGATTTGTGTGATCTGGCGTTGTTCTGATGGAATATAATTCTTCTTCTCCTGAAGACGGTCCAATTGTTGACAGTACAGTTCTCAGTTAAAATGTCGTAGGGGTGCAGCTCATAAAAGACGTTGTGGTAAGTGATTCTGATCCACTTTTCATCATCAATCGCTTCAGAAATGGGTCAATTTTGTTTCGATTTAGCAGCCATTTGCAAATGAAAATTCGATCCATAAAGTTTTTTGGGTTACATCGTGTGGCACTCATAGATCGACATAATTTTTGTGTCCTTTTCAAATGGTTCCAAAGGGTTTATGTGCAATCTTTAGCTCTTTGACAATCGAAACAGTGCTTACACAATGGTTTGTTGAGTCCATAACAAACCATCGTGTAATTTTATTGACATTTTCGACAATTGGCCTTCGTGGTGCATCTTTGACATCCAAATTACCGGAAAGAAATCGACGAATCCAAAATTGCGTATAATTGGCTGTTCACATTTTCAACCGCATGGTTTGCGTTTTCGCTTTTTCAAAGAAAAACTGTAAAATATGACGTATTTTCTCTTTGCTAGCGTCCAAACAAGCTTTGACGCAAGCTCAAACAAAACTGAGTCAACCAATTACCAAACTGTCGAAATTTTTTTAGTACGAAATCTCATTTTTCTAAATCTATCGTTACCCGATAGGACTTATACAACGCGGGGTACAGATATTTAAAGCATTTATTGTGAAAATAATGGATTTTTTTTTACTACATCTAATATTTTTATAAGACAAATATATTATATATATTAAAGTACATATTATATATTATACATATTAAAGAATATATTATATTATGTATATAGCTAAAATCTAGATAATATATAATATTTATAAGCTATAAAACTATACTATATATATAAACTATATATTTATTACGAAATTTAACCCATTGGGTTGGATTTATATGTTATCATTCATATAAATTTATTATTTTATTCTAAGACTAAAAACATTTCATCTATATTGGTATCAACAGCTTAGGCTGAAAAATTCAAGTTAGCAGAAAAATTGGATGTAGAGTTTTGTCCAACGTAATGACGTAATATATGTGACATTATGAATTAGCAATGGGAGAATTAATCAAGATCTACATGAACTACATAAAATGACATTGGCATTCTTCAGCGAATAAGCATTCAGCGGAAGAAGGCGTTGTAGAATAACCTATCTTCATTAAGTAAACAAGTTAAGGGAGCACTAACTGCATTTAAAGAGTAAAAGCGTATAGAAAGAAGTGTAGCGCCAATCCGGAACCTGGCAACATGACGTTGAGCGAGCTAAATAAATAACGTTTAATTGAAAATCATTCGTTATTGAATTTAAAACAACTATTAATGAAGGATTTTTAAGCTTCACCAAAGCCAAAATTAATTTTTTTATTTTATACAATTTTAATTCCACTCAAATTAAATCTAAAAAAAATACATCTTTATTTTTAGAACATAAAATTCTTTTGCAAGAGAAGTTAGGTATTACAATATTAAACATGCACTTATTTGAATGAATATTGCTAGCACTGACAAATTTTCAATGATGTATCGACTCATTCAATTTATTTATACTTCAATAACTCTGAAAAATAAAAAAATTTGAATATTTTTCATATAAATAAGATTTTTTTGGAAATTCCTTAAATTGATTGCTCAAAGAAAATTGTAAATATGTTCTTATAAGAATGCACTTACCATATAAAAAGGGAAAGCGTCAAACAATTGCAAAACAATGGGTTGTGTAAAATATATAAAAAGTCGATTTATCGTTGTTTAAATTTTTGAGATATACTAATTTTATAGTAAATATTTTTATATATTAAAATTAAGTTGCAGTTATTGATTTGCTTTGATAAAGAACTTAATTCGATTTGTACAGCTGAACACAAGATCGTGATGTCCTTTGAAACGCAATTTGAATTTAATATTGTAATTCCATTGCCTAAAAAACAAAAGGATATTGTAAGAGAATATTAAATATAGTTTTATTTTAGCCATTTAGATTTAATTTAATGTGAAATAATTTTAAAAAAAATAACTGTTTTCATCAGATATCAGATTAAAGTCCTTATATTTTAATTCACATTTTGCAAATTGAAAATTCATGTCACAATTTTACAAACAAAAATTTTTTTTAAAATTTTAGAATGATTTCATTAATCAGTGAAATTAAAAAATAATACACTTAATTTAAAAGTTAATTTCAATTTCTAAATATAAATTTAAGATATTGTAAAAAAAATACATTTCAGATATTTTATTGTGAGATGTTTTTGAATCTAACTACTAAAACGAAGCAAACTCATGTTAGTCTTTTTGCAAGAAAAAATTGCAATAACTGCTGTAATTTTGCTAACCGTTAATTATCTTCGGAGAATAAATAGCGAGTGGGCACATTAGTTAACTGAAGATTCTTAACAATCGGTTAAGACAAAACAATAACTAATCTACTAATGATGTAACCAGTGCTGAAAAAAAGGTTACATTTTAACCAATAAGAATAATTGGGAAAGATTTTAAAATTCTATTTTCACTGCTAATATTTACAGGGCAATTCTGACAACGATCATTTAGCTTACCACACTCACAGGGCGATCTTGGCCCTGGACCGGTAAAAGTTTTTTGAATGATTTTTGAAAGATCGAACGAAAGACTGTTTGAAAGTTTTTTGCTTTTCTGGCACAAAATCTTTCAAAAAAGTTTTATCATTTGTAATTCATGGTAGAAAGCTGTTTAAATTAAAAACAGCTACCACATGCAAATTTAACTGTAAGATATATGTTTAGTTAATATTTTTATTTATATATAAATAATTATTTACTGAATGTGAAAAAAAATGGTAGTAACTATTGCAACATTAAGCACAGTAGTACCAAAATTAAAATTTAATTAGTTTTAAAATATCTTAACTATATATATATATATATATATATATATATATATATAAATAAATAAAGTAATGTAAAAGAAATAAATAAAACAATGCTAAATAAATATTATAATTTAAATATATAAAAACTATGTATATTTTATATAAATATAAAAAATATATATTTTGAATATTGGAGACAGTACAGCATATCAATACTTTAACGATTGCTTCATATTAAAAATGAAATTAGAAATATTTGTTCCATTTCTACAAATTTAAATTTATTAATCATTTTTATTTTAAATTATATGTATTTTATTTCTTATATAAAATATTTTATGCACAAAAACGCAAAGAAAATATCAGCTGTTAATCGAAAGTTCTGCTTATTGGCACATTTTTAATTTGATATTTTGAAATACCGAAAACAGCTTTCTGTCTTTCAAACGAGAGTACGAAACATCTATCAAACGAACTTTCGAAACATATTTGATTGTGGTAAACTGAAAGATCGTTTTTAGATTTGCTCTATTAAAGTAACTTTATCAGAATTATACTGTTATATGTTTAATTAATATATTTATTGTATATAGTTTTTGAAACTGTAAACAAAAAAATATATATTGAAATTTATATCATGGCGAATATGATGAACTAGAGCAATGGTTCCCAACTAGTGGTCCGCAGACCATAAATCGTTAAAAATGGACCGTGAATCAAATTTAACAGGTATGTCCACTAAGCTTGTCCACTGAGACCTCAATTAATAAAAATAAGCACAAAAAGTTATAATATACCTATTATATAGGTACATATATAGGCCTATGCATTTACAATTCATTATAGATTAAACCAGAAATGCATAAAGTATATAAAAATAATCATATAGTTTATTATTCTTAAACTTTGTGCTGCCTAACAAAAACAAAAAAATCATAGTGGATCTTGGTCATAAGAAGATTGAGAACCACTAGTTTAGAGCAAAGTAAATAAATGAAGGTCTATCTCCAAATAATTAATCTAAAAATTTTATAAAGGTACAAAAGGGAAGCTTAAACAAATAGGAGAAAAATCTATAAATAGAAATATAATGTGGGTTAGATAATATTTAGTTTTAAGGTTAGTATTTCAAATTTTTAATAAAATATATCTTAAACAGCAAAAGATTATATTGAAATATAATTTATTTTTTGTTTTAAATTCTTTAATTTTATATTAAGTATTTAGTTTCTTTAGTCAAAACGGATGTTAAAAATAAATTTCTTAAATTTAAACATTTTTTTACATATTGGTGTTTGTGTATATATAAATTATTTTAATATTTTAATATGACCAGTTAAATCGTTCATCATTATTTTTCAGTGATATATTTTATTGCATTATATTAAAATACAACAATATAATCTTTTGTAAGGTTAATATTTTTTGTTAATGAAATCATTAATCCAATTTGTTGTTTTTTTTTTTGTTTGTTTGGTGTATGTTTGTTTATTATTAAGTTATGATCAATGCATGTTATAGTAAAAAAAATTACACTAACAAACATTTACTACATTTGACGACAATCTTATGTTTATCAATTTTGTAAGTTTTTTATATACAGATTTATGTTCTTTATTATTGTTTATATTTAATATTTTTAAACAGTTAAATATACTTTACCTCTCAAAATTTCCTTTTAAAGTTTTGATTTATTTGTGTAAAAACAGCTGAGTTTGACGCCAAAAGTAATCTTAGCGAAGGACGAGGTGGGTGTGGACGGGTAAGTAATGATGTTTCTGTGACTTGACGCACTGACGAGGAATATTTCATTTTGATTTTAATGCTCAACAAAAAATTAAGTAGTGATTGCACAAAATTTATATATATAACAAATAAAACTACTAACATATCAACAACGCAAACTTTAACGAGGCACAAAACTTTTATTCACCAAACTATATATCAGGTGAATTTCTATACAGAACAGCGCAAACTTAGTTTATTGAAACAATTACCATATACAAATTATGTAAAAGGTTTATTTAATAATTTAATTATATAAGTTTTTTACTTATATCACATCAATAATGAAAGTAGTGTCTGTCGCCCCGGCTAATAATTTACGTCTAATATATGTATGTAGCTGGCTTGGGTGAAAATTGCGGTGGCGTAGTATTAAAAAAATTAACCCAATTAAGGGTTAAAATTTGTATTAACTCATTTTATCACACTAAATCATAGTTTCCACTTTGTCATTGTTCACAATAAATACAATAGTTTAAAAATTTTTCTTCAAATTGTAAAGTTGTTCTTTTTGAAGGTTTCCTTTTTCGTTTATAGCAATGCAATGTTTGCAAGTAGTATGCTGTTTCTGCTATCCTCGACCGTTTGTATAATAGTTATTCACAAATTGTCTACTTTCAATACGGAATTTATAAATCATTATTTCTAACACGATAGCAGGTAAAATAACAAATTCCACACAAAATTTAGCGCATAAATGCGACTTTTACATTATTCGTTCCTTTTATTCAGATTTTTCTTTCTTTTTGTGAGGTTAGAAATAAGAGAATGGAAGAATGATATATAACAATTACTGAAGCATTGCCAATACAAAGTAAAAATATTTTTAATACGAATTTATTGTTCATAATAATAAGAATCGTATTCGTGTTAAAACTATGCTCAAATACGGATATAAGTTTAATTTTTTCTTATAATGAAAAGTATACCTAATATTAAAAAAGAAAATTATTAAATTAATATTTTTATAAATATCTTAATATTATAATAATTGTAATCAATGATAATAAAGATATTAAGTTTTTATCTTCGATAAATTTATTTGTCATATTATGTAGATGTCATATTAGAATATTACAGTCATTAAAAATTTGAATGAAAGACAATTTTGAAGTTATTCTTTTTATTGTTAATGTCATATAAAATCAATTGTTTTAGTTTTAATGTGAAAGTTGAGAATATGATTTAGTGATTTTGTAGATATATGAAATCTTGTGTGGTTATTCAATTTGCAATGAAATGTGTTATTAACATATTATATATTTAATTACTTCAAGTAATGATAGAATGTAATCATTTTTTTTATATATAACTTTAATTTTGCGTTCGTAATAGCAGAAATAATGTTGACTTTGCTTGAATATAAAAAGAAGAGCTATCTTTCTTAGAATCATATTTACAGTTCCACCACTTTACTTCAGCAATTTAATTATACACCTGAGAATAGTTCTTTGTAACTTAGTTGTTACCAAAGTACTTTTTAAGTAAATTTAATTTCGATTTTAAAAAAACAATTTTGCGACTATAAATGTATATGGACTATATTCCCCAAAGAATATTTAATTTTTACGATTATTATATATAATTATGAAGCGAAAGTATTTGTTGCTACTTAAACACGTAAAACTGGACTTAATTGTATTATACTTAATTGTGTTTTCTTTTAAGTTTTAGTTATTTTTAATATTAATTAATTTTAATTTCCATGAAATTTTTAATATAGTCCATATATTTGAATTCCTTTAAAAAAACACTATATAAACTTTTCGCTGAATGTTCTGTTGAATCATATCATAAGCAATTTTTAAAAATAGACAATTTATATTATATTTTATAGATATACATTGTTTATATGAATTAAATTAAATAATTAAAATGTTATAAAAGAAACACGTTGTATGATCTAATGTTAGTTATGTTTCATAAACGAATGATGCAACTTATACAAAAACATTACTCCAGTTGGCAACGCTATGTCGAATTTTATACCATAGAACACTTTAACAGGTAAACTGTTTCTAGAAATATATAAGGCAATAAGAAGACTGTGTATGGTAATACTAACTGTGGCATTTTTGTTATTATTGCAAAATTAAATATGTGACATTTTATAATTTTCATGTGACTGGCGTTAAAAATGTAATAATAAATATAATAAATTGATGTGGCACTTACACTACTTTAAATATGTAAATATTTAATTGTTTTTCCAATCATATATTTAAATCATATATGTATATTTCTTAATTCAATTAAAAAGATATCATAAATCATATTTTCTAGATAGTTGAATATATCTCTGAATCTCATAATTAATTTATTTAATTTGTGAGTTCGTTGAAGATTAAGCATTTAATAAAAGCTTTTTTTTATTTATTTGGTACTTAATTTATTTGTGTTTTATATTGTATAACTATTCATTTATATATTATATATAAAAAATAAGAGAGATCAATTCCTGATCGAAACTATCAAAACTTTAACGTAATATAACTTTTATTATTTTATTTCTTTTCCACCGGAACTGCTGGATCCAAACCAAAATTCATTTTAACGACATCACAAAACACCGACAAAAAAATAATTCCTCCTATTATATGGTTAAGTATATCTGCTGCTCGTCTTTGCCCTTCACTTTTATGGATGTTAATCATAGATTGAATTACAAGTAAAATTCCAGCTAGTATCTAATATGAATAAGTAATTGAAATATTGAGATCAAATTAGAGAAATTAACATAAGTATTATTTAATAAGTTTTAAAATTATATATATATATATATATATATAAATTATATATGTATACATATATACAGACATGTATATAAATATGTATTTATATTAACCAGGTCTAGTTTCAACTCATTACGGTTCCTTATCTTTCGCAATGAGCCTTAACGGTTGTGACGAATACTCGATACCAAAGCCAGAAATGATCACGTTTATTATAGAAATAAGAAACACCACAACAAGTATAATATCATTCAAAATAATAGCTGCAGTTTGTTCCTCTTTTTTATTGATGTTAAGACTGCCAATGATTACAAAGAAAATCCCAACTAAAAGCTGTAAGAGTGAACAGTAATTAATAACTAAAATTTTAAGTTCCACCACACCAATGTACTTAGTTGAAATAATGGAGTTAAGCCTTATGAGAATATTTGAAGTATCTGAACATATGAATCAGAGAATATCTTCTTTGATATAAAATCCTCTATGATATGAATATCGTTATTAACATAAAATAATAAGAAAACAATTTTCAAGCTAAACTTAAACTATGCTAAAAATAGAAAAATTTTTAGTTGTGATATATTTTGAAAACAGATTAAAGAAAGAAAAGAGTAAAGGATGAAACGATACATACTTTTATCGTCAATACTAGTTGTAATGAAACGTTCTGAACAACTCGTAATCAAGAAGAAAATTAAGATATTCATGCTGTATGAACTATCTATTGTTTCATGTATCTTGACAAATATATTTTAGGATTCCTAAGTAATGTCTTACTATATATTGATACAAATATTGTATTATAATTTTATATTAACATTGATATACGAATAGGCAGACAATTTAGAGTGACATGCATTGAAATATCTGTCAAAAATTCCTATAATTATTAAGGGATCTGAATTGGAACCGAAAATGGTTAAAAAAAGTTTAGTAAATTAATGTTTAAATAAATAAAATGTAAACAAGAAATGTAATATAGCAAGACTCATTCACTGAGAATGAGAATTGAAAGGATAAGAAGATCATTACTGAATAGTAAATAGTTGTTTATTATCTCTTGGGATATGACGGAGGTTCTAATGGAACGCTGTTATCAAAGAACATAAGAACGACAGTAAAAAGTGTTGGAGAGCATCAGTAATGATATTTATTTATTTATAGCTTATTTTCTATTAGTTTATTCATCGATATAAACAAAATATCTACTTTCACAATTAAAAAATTTTTTTTTTTATTTAAATAAAAGAATATAAAATAAGTCTGTCTGTTTGTGGATATAATACATAGTATTTGACCTAATCGAATATATTTTATACAGGTATAATTCTGTTTATAAATTCGGTCAAATCAAGTCAATATAATATGAAATTAGAAGTCTACTTTATGTATCTCGCATATAAAGTAACTGCTAATAACTTTTTAAAATTTTGTATACAAATGTATTTATTAGATGTAACGTTACTAAATAAATATATATATTTAACTACAAAACCACTGATAAAATACAGTAGTAAGTTGAATTGTAAAATATTTATATGAGTGAAGGTTATGAGAATTGGATTTGATACTTGAAAAAATCAAAGCCAAATTTGGTATTCTTTATTTTCATGTATTGATCGTTGTTATTGTTTTTTAGTATAGAATAAAATAGTTAATTTAATAGAAGGGATTGTTATGGATGTTGGCATTGAAATAATATTGTTTAAAAAAATATATTTTTTAATGCATTGACGAGTCTGGGTTTTAGCTGTGGTAGCTAGAATAGTTCAAAAAATACTATTACCAAACTATTAATCATATGTAATTTCAATGAGATATAATTGATAAATACCAATCGATATATTAATTGATATTAATCATTTTTAGTACTATAACGTTTTTCCAATAACTCTATTAATGTGCAGAAAAATGAGAATGACCTTAATATATCTTTAAAAGAAGAAAAACATTTTGGATTACTTCGTATTATGTTTCAATCGAAAATGTTGTACTTTACCGGACACAGAATATCTTAATACAAGAGTCTAATGAACTGATATAACTTTATTTTGCTCAAAATTTTTATTCCATATTAGAAAGATTATGTATTTTCTTAAAACTAATAAGATTTTTAATTATTACTATTAAATATTAAGAAAATCCCCTTGTGAAGGTGGTAAACGTGAATCAAATCCCGAAATGAATAAATTAATCACTGTTGTGAAAAAGGCAAACCCAGTACGAATATGATTCAATATATTGGCCGATTGATGGAATTCTGGCTTGTGTAAACGACAATCACGCATAAGGCTCAACGATAGACTAAGTACACCGGAGAGTATCTAAATGAGTTTCTATTATATTTAATTAACTACAAGTAGTTGTTTATACAATTACCTGAAGTACTATAGACAAACTAATGAGTATCAGCATTAGCTTATAAAATTGATGCTGTTCGCCTACTTGCAGGATATATTTTAATTGGGAGGCATTTGCAGTTAAGAGCGCAATATCAAGCATCCCCTGAGCGATGGTTTTTTTAGTTGCATATCGATTGGCATCCATTGCTTTCATCTAAAAAAAAAATATTAAAATGTATATATATTATTGTGCAAAATATTTGTCTTTTCTTGGAGATATTTTTAAAAAACAAAAACATAATATTTTTCTTGTATGTAAATAATATGTGTACATACATATGTACATTTCTGATTTGGTGATATTTTTGTATCTATCTATCTGTCTCTCTATTTTTCTGTAAGACTGTCTGACAGTAGACACACTAGTTCTCATTTCAACAGGAAATCGAACAAAATTTTGAATCTTGCATACGTTTGAGGTCAATAGTCACTACTTTTTTATAACTTTCTCTTTTCTTTTTAATTTTGATACCTTCAATTGGTCCTTAAGCAAAATTAACGATTCATTTAATTTCTTAAGTAAACTATATTGACGATTTTTATGTAAACTTGGTAATACAGTAAACTTGGTAAACAGTTTATATCACAAATTGTGTTCAAAAAAAAAAATATTTTAAGTCACATCAAATGTTTTGTATAATTTTTTACTACAAGGTTGGTTCACCACTTTTGGTGTACGGCAATGTCTTAGCCGTGGTACTACAACGGAACATTGATTGTACTCAAAGTGATTTTTGGTGGTTAAAGTTGCCATTGGTTACCTAGGTTAGGTTAGGTTATATCGGCGATCCTAAGGGATTTACTTAGGCCTATAGGTGCATGTTTTTATTGCATTTGAATTTTTATTTTAATTTTGAGTAATCACAAATTCAAAAATAAACTAATAAAAAATATTAAGAAGTATAAGTTAAATTATACTGTTATAAATTGATCCTAATGCATCTATTATGTTCTTTGTACCAACAAATATGATTTATTTTTTACACTTTTAATAATATATATTTACAATGTTTCAAATCGATTGATTGTTTGCTGTTAGTCACAAATTATTTATAAATATTAGAATTAAATCTTAAAGAGTGGTTAAGATTCACTCTTGTTTGGTAACTTTATGAATCATCCAATTGATTCATGGCATTTAACTCAATGAGAGATCAACAACATACACTTAGCAGAAAAACTCTGCGTACAAAAAGTAAATTTTGTTTCAACATTTAAAAAATTATTAAATAAATAAATTTTTTAAATCAATTTTATTTTTTGTTTGTACTTTAATTCGTTGACTTTATTTTAAGCTAAAACTTATTTCTAACACATTAGTAAAAAAATTATAATAATTAAAAATGTAAAAAATCAGCGCTATCGGTGGCAGAAAAAGTCTGCGTACAAAACATATAAAGGGGAATTCCCAAAGTTTTAATAGTAGAACTTTGGCGTGCTTTATGTTTTACTGTATCAGTATATCATTATACACAATCCCACGCACTTATTTTATAATTTAATGATTAAAAAGTAATTAAATTTTTAATGACAAATAAAGGAAAAGAAATTATTCTCGGTGAGAGCAGTAGTATTATTGATCTATGGAAAAAAAGGAAAATGTATCGCAAAATTGGTCAAATCGTTAAGCGGTCACATTCTTTTATCCAAAGAGTAGTGAACAACTACAACTAAATAGGATTATTAACCCAGAAGTTGGGATCTGGGCGTTTATCCAAGCTGTCAACAAGAGAAACCCGCAGCATTATTAATTCAGTGAAAGATAATCCTCGTCTAACTGGACTTCTGTTATAGAAATATATTGACCAGACATTCCAGAAGCAAATTCACGTGGATACTGTACACAAAATATTAAAAAAACACCACTACCATGGCCGGTTTGTACGAAGCAAGCCGCTTATCTTCAAAGCTATTAGAATGAAGCGTTTAGCATTCGCAAGGGAGTATTTAAATAAGTCTCCAGAATTTTGGAAACGCATAATTTTTTCAGACGAAAGCAAATTTTGTCTCTTTAGCGTTAAAGGTCGAACGATTATATGGCGAATTCCGGGTACTGCCTTTAATAATGAATATTTGTATTCAACAATAAAACACGGTAGTGGAGGAGTAATAGTGCGGGGGTGTATGGCGAGTAATAGAGTGAGAAAAATGGAGCTCATTGAGTCGATAATGAATAAAGATGATCATTTGAATGTTTTAAAATGCAATTTAAAGAGCAGTGCCAAGAAGTTGGGGTTACAGAACAATTACTTACTTCAACAAGATAACGACACAAAGCACACGGCAGAAGTTGTAAAGCTTTGGTTGCTTTAAAATGTGCCCAAGCAAATCAAAATGTCATCATAATCGCCATATTTGAATCCTATAGAACATTTATAGGATTTACTGGTGCGTCGGGTACATAAATACAATATAACCTCCAAAGAAATGCTGAAGAACGTTAGCGACGCGGAATGGGGTAAAATAAGCATTAATGAGACTGCGAAACTTGTCAATTCGATACCAAAACGACTTATGAAGGTCGTAAAAAGTAAAGGTTATCCAACAAGTTACTGAAAATATAAAATGTTTTAAAAAATAATATATTTCAACGCTTTTTAAACTCTTGTACGCAGACTTTTTCTGCCACCGATAGCGCTGATTTTTTACATTTTTAATTATTATAATTTTTCTATTAATCTGTTAGAAATAATTTTTACCTTAAAATGAAGATAACAAATAAAAGTACTAATCAAAAATAAAATTAATTTAAAAAATTTATTTATTTAATAATTTTTAATATGTTGAAACAAAATTTACTTTCTGTACGCAGAGTTTTTCTGCTAAGTGTATATAGATTATTTAGCCTCTAAAATAGTTTTTAATGTGTTTTATGTATCATGGGAACCTTTTCACTCTACTCTAGCTATGACAATAAACCATTTTAATTTTAATGTACGTTTTTCCCATATTGAATTACTGGCATGTATTGCATGCATGTTACAATAATATTAGATATATAAATATAAATTCATGTAAAACTTTTCATGTGGATGGTGTGAATAAAACAATATGATTTTTTATACACAATTGGCTGCAGTTGTGTACTTAATTATAAAATCAATAATTTTTATTATTCAAAAGTTAAATAAACAAAGCTTCATTAATTAGCTTTTGCAAAAATTTTTCATGTACATAAATTATCATTAAATGTAGCACAAGTGTTGTAGTAATACCATATCAAATAAGAACTTAAAAATCATATTCAAATTACCGTCAAGATCCTCTTATATTATGAGAATGAGAATTGAATTGATTTAATGAAAAATTTGCTCATTGGCAACGACAATCCATATGATCGTTCATACATATATTTATATATATCATCATATGTACTATATAGACGATAGCTTGATTATAGGTCATAAGATCTCAAAGTTTGTGGAATACCACTAATTATGATATGTTTGGCTTAAAATATATTTGTCGGTAAAATACTTAACTTTTCAATTAAAATTGTTCTTATATGTATAAAATTATTACACATCCATATTAAACAGCTTGACATGATATGACAATTTTATACATTGATATAGTATCTTCTTCAAAATTGTAATTTCATAGGAATCTAATTTTCAACACAATAGCTAAAATTACTCAGATGAAGCATGGTTAGGATGATAAAAATATAAAAACTTCGCTATTGACATTCTTCGTAATCTACAGGTTAAAAGCTGTTTCTTGTTGAAAAATTTCTATTTTAAAAAATGTAATCCCATTTATTGATTTAACCACCGGTACTAAAGTACTAAAGATGTAAAGAAGAACAGTATTTTGAATAATTTTTCTTTTGTTTTGTTTTTTGCCATAAAGCAAAAAACCGTAAGTGCCATGGTCATGATACCGGTGTGCCAGACTCTTACCGACTAAAACACTTTCTCTTCATCATAAATTATTAAAAGTTTAAATTTCTTTAGATTGTCTATGCGTCATGTTCAGCAAATAGCTACGTTTTAAACAGTTGCTTATCAGAAAATAAGATGGTAATTCTTAACGTGTACCCCTTTTTTAGTTCTATATTCCATCACGTCGTTTTAACTGTAGAATTGCCCACATTGTGGTTATTTCATTCTGTGGTTTAGTTTAATTCAGATAACACGGTTTTTAACTTTAGTATAAGCTGAAATTAATCTCTTCATTCCATCACAACATTATTTACTTTTTCCATTTTATTCTAAGCATCATCAATTAAAAACATTTAATATGAGAATTTTCTTAGAGAGTCGACTTTATTGTAAGTCCCCTCTCTGACCTGACGGAATCGACAACGATATAGACTGGATTTAATATATTTATTCATTCGCGTAATTCTCCTCTTAACCAAATTACCTTTCATTACAATTTATCCCTGTAACATACGAAAGTATATAGATCACTTATTGGAATATAGAAATTAACTTTTCGGTTGTGGTGTTTAGTAATAATTCATTATTTGTGGTTACTAACACTTATTTCTGTTCATATGTGTCATATGTGAAATATTGAGAAATCTATTAGATTCGATCAATCTATTAGATTTTTTTAATTACATCAGTAAGTCCTTAGCATTATTTACTCTGTTTAATATTTATTTTTGTAAATAATATAATAGTATTAAAAAGTTATTATTTAAGGATTTATTTTAATAAACTTTTATATAAAATTTTTTTTTATTTATTTATCAATTTAATTTCTTATTTTGTTTTCTTCCGTTTACAGCGATTTGATATTGCATTTAATGGTATATTATTATTTCAATTCATATTATAAATGATTTTTGTGTTGGATATATCAAATAAAGCAATAAATATTATCAGCATTAATACTGAAGAAATAAATAAATTGATTTTTCGATTTTTATTGCTTATTCAATGAATTGATTAGCTGCATCTCTGAAAATTTTTAATCAAAAACAGCAATGAAAACCATTGTCGTAACTAATATATACATATATGCACGAATTAATACTATATGTGTTCAATGATGCATTATATAAGCTTACCTCGGAGTCATTTCCGGATGTATTTACACTTGCAAATATTTGTGCCATATTTAATTTAATATTGTTCATAAAATAATAAATTATATACAATAAATAATATTTATATTTCTTAAATTTTAAAATGTGTTAAACTTAATCTTTGTTTAAATTCGTATTTCGTAATTCGGCTACGTTACGGGCTACTGCATTTCAGAGATTTTTTTTTTTTTTGATGCCAATATATCACAACACAATCAAAAATTTTAATACAAACAAATTAACTTTTGCAGTATTAATGAATTTTTTTACTACATATTTTTTTACTATTTTTGCCTGCTATAGCAACCTTTTCAATCCACAACTTAACGATAAAACATCACAACACAAACTAAACTTTCTTAATGCGGAGTGTTTGTATCTATACCTGTTACTGGCACTTTGTCTGCGGTTCAAGTATCTCTACATAAAAGATACTTTAACAAATTTGTGAATGGATAATGATGACTAATCGCAGTTACTGCATAAAAATTGGTTTAATTCGAGATTTAAACGAACAATAAATTTATTTGATTTGTGTTTTCTTTCTTCGTAAGAAGTGCAATATTTCAAATTTACTAAAAACAAAAAGAGTTCTATATTTTATATTATATTAAATACAACAAAATGTTTTTAAATATTGCTGATGCCACCAGTTGATGCTGAAATTAATAATAAAATAATTTAGTAAGAAATTATAGGGTTTCTAACAAAGTTCCTTTCAAATACAAATAATTTTAAAATTCATATAGCGTTTTTATAATTATTCTGAGCAATCACGCCACAACCATTTTGATAGTATAAAACTAGCTTATTGTATGAAATTTCTATTTTCATTTTTTTTTGTTGTAAAAGCTTGTCTCTAGTGTGATTAACCTAACCTAACCTAACCTATCTTTGGATTTTGCTTTCTTAACAGTATTAAATATCTTAAGATGTAATTAAAAGAGATAAATAAATTATTTATTTAAAATAAGGTTCAATTACTTTTGAAGCCTATGAGTTGATATAACTTAATGTAAAATTGTCTTAACTGAATACCTTCTCAATGCACCTTATGATAACAAAATATTTATTTATTTATTTGTGAGTAAGACTAATGTTAATCTTAAAGTTACCCAAGAATAAGGAACTGGACTACTAGGTTCTTCGTCTTAACTAAATACCTTCTCAATGCACCTTATGATAACAAAATATTAATTTATTTATTTGTGAGTATGACTAAAATTAATCTTAAAGTTACCCAAGAATAAGGAACTAGACTACTAGGTTCTTCGCCCTAACAAAATATATTGTTAACAGATGTTGGTAAATATAACAAAAAGATTTTGAGATATCTAATAAATAAAAATTATCCTGTTTAATTCAACTTATGCGCCGTGATATCTAGTAAATAAGCCCTGGCTATCTATTCAGAGACCCTTTAAATTAAATTACAATTCATATTATAATTCACTGTAATATGTAAGTTAACACCCTGTATTACTATAACGGCACTTTGCCTTTACACACAGTTTTTGTATATTATATATTCGCATCCAAGTATTGCGCACTAAAATATCTCACAACACCTACGCGCGATTGTGTATTTAATTTCAATCAGGCTTAATGCCTATACTTCTTAGAGCAACATTGTTGCAAATTGTTTTCTTTTCAAACTGCAAGTATCTTTCAGAAAACATATCAAGTATTATTTGAAATACTTGATCGATGAGATCAATAGTCCAAATACTATTGGATATTAATCTCGTCATCTCGCTATTGACGCCAAAGCTAAAGACGCTTACGAGGCGCTGTGAAAATAGAAGCTCCAATCCTATAGGATGGAGATAAGAAGCTTCTAGAATATTCTGATGAATTTAAGAAGCTATAATAGGATTGGTGAAATCCAATCCTAAAAATCTAAAAATAAGTTGAGTCGTCGGAATATATTGATTAAAAATTAAATATCTTATTTAAATAATAAATTAATTCTGTATAAGTGTTAAACATTCAATAATAAAAATATTTTAATAAAATATATTTTTTTAAAACTTTAAAACAAGAAACCGTTTACTAATTTGTATATAAATAAAATAATTTGTAATGTAAATATAAAATAAAAAAGGTTAAATAAAAACCTTTTGTTAAATAAAAAAAAATCTAATAATAAACATATTTTATATATTAAACCCAATTTTTATTTTATAAAATACTTTATATAAGTAGTTTCCCAAATATATAATTACTATACGCTTAATTTTTATAAAAATTAAAATACGTTTTAGCAAATATCTAAGAAATGAATTTTGTAATACAAATAAATTTTTAAAGTTGTTGTTTCTTTAGTACAGTTCAATGACAGTAAAAAGTAGTTAAGTTATCCAAACGGACTTTTTGATATTGTCTTTGTTTATAGTGGTCCTTGGCACTTAGTTATATATGTATACGAATTGTTCTGAACCACCTAAAACCTTTGGCAATCCGAACCACTAAATCTAGGAAGTTTTGTTTCAAGATTAGTTTTAAAACCGTTAATTTTTAATTAAAAGTGAGATTATAGTGGGATTCCAAGAAATTATAATGCATTTTTGACTTTTTGTTGTGAAACTAATAAAAACGAAGTACACATATGTTTCCGAGGACGGCCAGGTCTACGTTCCGGAATCACTTGTTGAGTTTGACGACCAAGTGCTATTCGCCACACCCAAAAAAGGACTACAGAAGCAAATCCCTGTGGGTTACAACAACTATACATATATCCGTTTGAGGAAATTTTCACTGTATAAATGAGAATTGAGAGGAATGGAAATTAATTTCGGGAGTTCTGATTCTTTAATTTAGTATTTTTGCAATACATTAAAATAAATATTAAGAATAAATAAAAATGTTTTTTCAAATTGTAATTATTAACTATTTTAACAATGTTCGATTTAATTAAGTTTAAAAAAGAGTTTGAAAAATGAAAATATTAAATAAACGACATGAAAATGTCTATCAATATTATTTTATTTATTAAGCTGTTTATAATGTATCATTCTTTTACAATTATTTTAGACTTGATATTAATGCAATATTCTGAGTATTAAAGCAATTACTTTTTTTTATTGCCTAACAATAAAACAATATTTTGATAATCACCCAAATAAATTATTAAGAGCTAAGAAATATTGTAATAAATAAATACCTTATGCATTCATTGTGCTTTAAAATTCATTATTTCGTACTTTTAATGTTATTTAATACGTGGTATTTTTTATAGTTACAATGTTCTAGGACAAAACTTTCACAGTAAATAATATAAAAATATGCATCTGCATTTTAAAAAGTTTTCCTATGCACTGCACGCTGCCCTTCTTCTTCGTATTCCCTTTTAGATATCCACATTTTCTTAAATGTATCTAAAGAAGCCAGAATTGAACCACCCATCCAAGTAGAGTATAAACGCTCTTGTGGAGCAGCAATCTATAAAACATTTTTATTTACGAAATTATTAACTATACATGGTGAAGTTAAACTTACTCTTATTTTAAGATCTTTCGATGAATGTTTCCTTAATTCACAAAGTAAACGATCACCAAAACCTTTAAAAAGTGTAGATCCTCCAGAAAGTACAATATTTTGATATAACATTTTCCTAAGATCCATGTCTGATTTTTCGATTGCATATATAAGAACATCATGAATGCCTTCACATTCTTCTCCAAGTAAGTCTGGCCGAAAGAGTACTTCAGGCGCTCTAAATCGCGCTTGTCCAATCTAAACAAAATATATATGTATATTAAATTTTTTATTCAATTTAAAAGATATTTGTATATCAAACCTCTAAAGTTTTACCATCTGGTAGTGTGTATGAGTACTTTTCAGTTTCCACAGTCTCTTCCTTTTGAGGATTAGTTGCTAAATAACAGCACTTTTCTTTAATAGAACGCACAATTTCAAATTCTGCAGTAGATCGGAAGTTAAAACCTTCTTTACGAATTAATGTTTTCAAATAGCGTGTTACATCTCGTCCAGCAATATCTACACGCATAATACTGTGTGGCATTGCAAATCCTTCATATATTGGAACTGCATGTGTTACACCATCACCAGCGTCAAGTACAACACCAGTAACCCGACCAGTTGCGTAACTGCGATGATCAATATATAATATATTAATATTGATATGTTTAAATATGAATACAATTTCATTAAAACTTACAGACTTAAAACGGCTTGCATGGATACAAATAGTGCAGGTGCATTAATGCCTTCGAAAAAAAATTCAGCAGCCTTTTCTCGATTCCTTCTTGGATTAAGTGGAGCCTCAGTTAAAAGTACCGGATGATCTTCAGTGAAAGTTGCAAGTTGTTCCTAATAAAAATGCAAATACATATTTGGTTTCATATAATTCTAAAATAGTGTAATTAAATATTATTTTTTTTTAAGTAGAAATGATTATTTGTTTTGTGAGTAAGAAACTCACTATCAGCATTTAAAAATAGTTTTGTATACTTTCTCTAAGCAATTATAGCTTTGTATTGCCAAAAGCGAAATTCAGTAGACACTTACAAATTAGATTTACTTGGACAACTTTTATTATCCGTAATATTCTATTTTCTAAAAGTTGATTTTTCTTTTGAAAAGTATGAAGTGCAAATTTAGTTTAGAAATGTTATTTTTACTTTAATTTTTTTTATATAATTGCAATAAAAGATTGGTTAGTTAGTTAAGGAAAAATAACTAACTACTTTTACACCATTTTATAAAGTTTTTAATGTTTTCAGCAGTCGCAGAAGAAATAATGGATATCATTTTTAATGAAAATTAAAAAAAAAGACTAAAATCAAAGAAATTAGTCTATTAGTATCATATCTTATATGATATTAAAATTTTAGTATTACAATTATATTTTGTTCTATTTTTTTAATAATGAAAATCACAAATTATTTAGTAAATATATGTTTTATTTACTCTACCTTGCTATATATGTAACTCCATATTTTCTCCATGTCATTCCAATCTGTTACTATACCATGCTCCATTGGATATCGTATACTTAAAAGTCCTCTATGTTCTTCTGCTTTGGGTCCAACAAATATATCACCTTCCAAAGCTCCCGCCATAACACGCACATGCTTAGGTCGTCCTATGCTGTAATATTGATAAAATCTTTAATAATATATGTTTCTATTGTTGCTAATACAAAACTTACTAATTGGGAAATCTACATTTCGGAATGTGCTCTCCTGCAAAGCCTGCTTTGATTACGCCAGAACCCTGTAAAATTATACAATTTAACAACATTTTACTGGATTATTACATACAATGCTATAGTAAAATAAATTAAGCAAGATATACTTAATACTTTTCGGTCAAAATTTAAGCACATGGCTTACCTTTTCTAAAACATTACTTGAGTTTATAAAAATTCTTGAATTTCAAGTACAATGTTAAGTGTTTGTCCCAAATAAAAATCTTAATTAAGCGATGAATTTGCATCATAATGTGCCGTTTTTTGTTTTTGCAGAAGTGCTTTTGATAATATATCTGCTGCAACGAAAACTTTATGTACTTTTGAATATAGGGCTTGTTTCTTGATTATGGACTATTGAGCAGTAGAAGTCATTGTCAACATCTCTCGTAAAATTTTGTCACCTTACCATTTATTAATAATTATTAGTAAAGGGATATAATAATTCATTAATCAATGTCTATAGTTTAAACTATAGCGATCACCTTGAGTTGGTTGTCTTATTGATTATATTAAACGTTTCAATATCGAAACTGATTTCGTTGTATGGAATGCATGATTCAGTTTGCTCCACTAAATTTAAGCGGTACAAGTAAAAAATCAAATTTCAAAGCTTCGAATATAAACTATACAGTACACTTAATGTTTTATCTTGTCCACATATGAAAAATGTTTGTATGCAGAATATGTTTATAACTTTGGGTAGTTATTGAAACATTTTGTAGATTTGTGGGTTAGTCATCTATTGTTTTTTTTTTAACACGATTTCCCAACAAAAATATGGGTGTAAAGCGGTGTTTAAATATAGACAACTGCAGAAGAGTTACGGTGATGTCATAAGCGACATTTTTGGTATTGTAATTTTCCTTTATAAATATTAGATATTTTATAATATTTAACTTACATTATCAATGACGACTGGTTGATTCACTACGACATCATATGGTTCCATTTTTGTGCGTAAACTATTGATATCTTTGAAATGAATTTACACAGAAATTGCCTACGAATTTGTAATTTCTTTTGTGTCTTCTGTTTGGTATGATTTGATGCAACAATTCACAATAATATTCAAATCGCTATTCACCACCAACTCCCAAAGAATATCGTAAATTAAGAAAGTTCAAAAATAATTAAAAAGGGCAGAGTTTCCACATTTCGTAATAACTGTCAAACGTTTTGGTACATATTTATATTGTTAATTATTTAATAACACAATTTTATGACTTATATTTTAGTATTTTTAAAAATTTCGCCTATATTTATTGTTAATGTGAGATCACTGTATTCAATTTGTATGAACCTATTTTTCAAATTATATTAATTATATATTTTATAATATGATGACGTATTTAAGCGTTTGTGTTGCTTTTAAACTAACATACAATTTATTAAATCGAGTTTAACTGAATGTCTAATATAAAGGTCTATAATACTGCGTTTACATTATAATTGCAGATTTCCCATACAAAAGTTAATCTCGTTTTGGTCGAGATTAATTTTTAATTTTATATGGAAAGCAAATCTACTTTATGACATTACATACTTTGACAAGAATCTCGTTTGTTAATCTCAGATTTCCCATACAAAAGTTAATATCCTTTTTGTCAAGATAAGTTTTAAATCTCCTTCAAAATGGTGATTATTTTTCTGTACAACTCTGCAAATGTGTTAATATAGTAGATTTTTTTACGATATAGTGGTCTTCTCTTAATGCATAGTTGTGACCATCACGCCGAATATTGGTTTTTGTAAAAGTATAATATAACGATCCTTGAATCCAAATTGTGAATTTATTGATATTCACAATTGTGGATATCAAAGAATACCTTTATTGGTATTCTTTGGTGGATATCAATGTGAACAAGCCCACATGCCGACTATAGATAGAAGTTCCATTACTTTTAACGAGACCGCGCTATTTTATGTAAAATTCAATATCTTTTTGAACATATTAATGTAATACCAACTTACATTTGAATAAAAACTTTTTAAAATGCTGAATAAAAACTGAACTAAAAAAACATAATAGAAAAAAGATTTTATTAATTTGACAAATGTAAATTAAAGAAAGTTAGCTTACAGGTAAAGACATTATATAGTTATAAATATTAATTTACTATATATACTATAACTTAATATTATAGATTTTATTAATTTGATAAATGTAAATTAGTAATATGTTATTTTCTCTTTTAATGAGCTTAAAGTTAATATTATATAAGTATATACCATTAAATTGTTTATTTATGATATTCTATTATATAAAATAAAATTTTTTAATTAAAGTATATCTTACAATAATACAATAATAAAAAGGCACTATAGCGACAAATGAGTGTTCCTTGTTTTTTATACACTTAGATTATAGATTTAATGTCGTAGGAAAAATTGTGCTTGGATTATCTATTATAAGCTTAAGTTTCTTATCTGGCCATTCGAACTCAAGACGTTGCGTCACTTCAATTTTGTCTAAATTTGCATTCTGGAAGGCTTCCATCATACGCGGTATAAGATCATCAGTAATTAATACTTGTATCCAATAACCAATCACACCATAAGGATCATTTTTACTCACAACGGAACCAGTTACGGACTCAGCTACTAGTGTGAGTGCTAAATGTTGAGCTTTGAAAGTGAAATGTCGTCCATGGCGTATACGATCCTTAATAGCTAACAGTAAAAACTTTGCAGCACAAGGAGCTAGTGTTATTTCAATACTATCCAATGATATGCAATCCAATCCTTGCGGCTGATATTCAATAGGACAAGATTTGTCTAAAGAATTACTACTTAAGTTCATTGATGGTAAAAAGCTACCATTTTCATGTTTAATTTGTGAGTCTTGTATTCTGTTATTCTCTTCCAAAGCACATTGCTCGTTAAGGCTGTTGAAATCAATCTCTTGTTTTAAACTTTGTGTTTGTTTAATCTCACGAAATGTAAATGCAGCATTAATACCAGCTAAATCTGATCCCTGTTTCTCTAAATCATCTTGTAAGTTTAGTAATGTTTCTGGAAAAAGTACGAATATACTTTGATTTCGAGCCATGTTAGTAATTAACCATTCACCACCAGTTTGAGGATCTTGACGAAGATAATTTAATACGCCACGGCCATTCCAATGTGACGCTTGCTCAAGTTCTTCGTTTGTTACACCAACAATCTGGCAAAAATCCACAATACCAAATGGAGTTTCAATACTACTGAGTTGGGGATCTTGAGCTATAAGTATACTTTGTATAGATGAATTGCTACCATCCAAACTTCGTCGCCAAGGAATATTGTCTCCTACACACAAACTATTACCAGTTTGAAAGCAATATCGAGCTATTGTTTGTAGAAGAGTTGCTGGCCAAGTTGGAGGTCGCTGATGTGGTCTTCCTTCAGATTGTGCATGAATTTCTGCTTCAGTTTTAAGTAACCGAAATGTAAGCTCGAAACCCATTCCAGACTTATTAATTTCTTCATTTTCACGTACATGCACTCGTCCATCTCCATGCAAGTCACTTAACCCAAAGCTTATGTAGTGCCAGTGTGGTGGAATATCTTTCTCTGGATTACCATTGTTGGAGTACATACTAATGTAGTCTAAGGGATCTTTTCCGCCTAGCCAATATTTTAATACCGTAGTTACTTGTAATGGATTTTTTTGATCGGGATATGTATTTTGCAAATGTTCTATTAGCGCCATTAATCCTGTTGGTGTCTGGTTATTTACTGGAGTGTCATTTGGTTCCATTTTTAAAATTATTTAGTATAAATCAACAACTTCTAATTACAATCAAACAATTTTATTTGAGCCTGCAAAAAAAACCAATACAAACGATCTTCTTCGATCAAATACAGAAAATGTATTCACAATAGATTAAAGTATATAATGGTAATGTGTTCGCAAATCCAATAAATTTTTATTTATATCATTAGTAGATAGCTCGTATGTAGCGCATACTTAAAAATTTTTATATTTATATTCTGTTATTTATTTTAAATTACGTATAAATTTAATAAAAAGATATACGGTTTAAAAATTGAATTTAAAGATTGTTAATAGGTTTTAGAAGCATAATAGATGTATTCTGCGAACCAATATGCGAAATGATCCTTTTGTAGATTTCCGCAATCAGCTGTTTTTTATTTGCACTTAGAAATATAATTGAAATAAAAATCAACCTTTGCTTTTGATGCAATAACAAGTCAAAGGAGAATATAAGTACTTGAGTAATAAATTTTCATTTAAAACAATTAATTTTATTTAATTATTTCACTCTGTTACTATGTATTTCAATACATAGTATATAGTATAGAATACATAGAGGATCGTTTGATTTTATAAGCAATGAACTTCGAAATATAGACCGCGAAACATATAAAAATGTTTTAAGAATGTCTGACGAGACGTTTTAAATGTTTTTGAAGTTCGACGAAGAAGATAAAAATCGTACTAATCTAAATTATTGTGATTTTTTTATTTTTTTATTCTTGTACATAACATAAATATATAATTCATTACCAAAGATTGAAAGAATTGTAATCATAATAATAAAGAACTGATATATTAAAAACAAACAATTTCAAAAAATTCCATATTTTATTTTGTCAAAACACTAATTTTACAAAATATGTATTCGTGTAATAATTATGTTTTAAAATGTTTCAAATACGAACAACGTTGATAAGAATCAAAATTGTGAACGTATATAATTCTGTAACAATTGAAAACAATTGAAAAATCACAGCAGCTGTAACTATATTTTTGTTAATTGTATATTTTTTACACAAAAAAAAGTAAACTTTTGTAACATTTTTGTAAAATGTCACTGCCAAAAGTGACATTTTACTGCCAAAAGTGACATATTAAGGTACATCCACATCAAAGTGAACGCTTGCGAAGGAACGAACATTCGCAGGTAATCGTACCTGCAAAAGTTCGTTCGTTCGCAAGCGTTCGCTTTAGTGTGGATGCACCTTTAAAACCATAATAATCATGCAACCCTAATGACTTGGTGATTTGGACTGCGGAGTCAAGTCACCGTGACTGGGTAGTCATTTTATTTTACTTTCTATCTGTCAGTATCAATTTTTTATTTTGCATTGAAAGCAACAATTGGTGATTGTGACTGCATTGATTGAATACCTGTCATGCTTACGTCTCGCGATAAAACGATTGTACTATTGTTTTTACGATATTTGTTACGATTTCTTTATATATATACATTAAGTGCCTATACATAGGTTTCAATGCAAATTAAGTTCTTAATTTACTCATTAAAAAAATGTCGTCTATTGTAAAGACGATCACAATTCAAGCAACGACGATTTCTCCTCTGATAATTTGTGTTTTAAGGTAGGACACAACCTTCAAGAGATAAGAGTTTTCCGATGCATCTGCGATATTGATGTTAGATTGAATAATTGGTTGATTTATTGCGGAAAGCTGGATTTGTGTAAAGTTATGTGGCGAAGACAAGATCAAACCTATTTCTGGAGATCGAAAATGATCGTGTTGAAATTCCAGCACCTACTCACAACGCAATGTAGACACAGATGGCCTTCTTGCAGAATTACTATATATATTATGTATGTTATATATATATATATATAATGGATTTTATGATTACTTTTATAAAAATTTAAAAATTTGATTCGAGAGTATTTTTAAATTTCTACAATTGAACGATATTTGTTAGGAAGGAAATTACCTTATAAATATAATAGTATAATAAAATGAAAGGCAGAAAATAAGCATCCGAGAGATGTGCGGATAAATAATTGTTCAATAACTGTCTATCTCATCAAAGTACAGCAAAATAGAAGATAAGAATGACATAATTCAATAATTATAAGTCGAGACAATATCTTTTATTTAAAAATTGATTTAAATATTAAGCAATTTATTCAGTTCAACAAATGGTGATTTAAACTTTAAAGTGCCAGTTTCCGATGCTCCATTTATTGGCGCTTGAATCTGAAAAATTTTTTTGACGCATTTAAATGCGCAGATTATTACAATTTTATTGTAAATATTTATATATATATGTTTTTTATTTTTGTATATTTTATAAATTTATTTCCTATTTCTTTCGTAACCAACATTCGTGCATTTTAATAATAATAGTATAAAAGCAAGCTATACCATTCAAAGGTACACATATTTATAAGAATATACGAAGAAGCGAAGTTCTAATATCAAATCCTCTTTAAAGAAAATACAGTAATATTATTATTTTCTAATCTCTTAATTTCAATAAACCTTCCAAGTTTTTTTCCTTATAGCACTATTTTAACATAACATGTATTCCATGCCAACCTATTGATGGTAACTCTTGTAACTTAATTAATATAACGTATTTAATTAATTGAATTATATTTTAATTAATTGAATTTTTGGCGGTTTCGAGTAATGCCAAATACCCATCATCAGTGGTAGTTCACCACTTTTTAAAACCTCTCTATTAAATACAGCAGTTTTTATTAAGTAAAATAGTCACTATCGTAATATTGACGTTAAAATGAAAATTAATATTTCATCCTATCATTAACCAATAAATTCAATAACAGATGGTTTCTTGTTATTGTCGTGCATATCCATATGTAGGAATTTCGTATTTATTTAGCATAAGTGCGGGAACTGAATGAGTCTGCTTTTTCAATATTTACAGAAATGTCAATGTAATTGTTTTGAGTCCTATTTACATCTAGTACAGTTTTTAACTGCTATACATCTCTAAACGAGATGTCGACGCAGCGCAATATATTTCCAGTCTGGGTTCCCGGTAGGGATATTTTCGGCAATTGTGAAGCAGACGAGCTACCCAGAAGGGGAGCTTCTGGAATTCACTCGGAACGCCTAACCAATTTGGGCATATCGTTAACATTATGCAAACTGTTATTCAGTTCTTTCTGTACTGAACTTTTTAATAAAAGATGGGAAGACTCAACGATTATCAGGCATCTGTATGCAATTGGGCCATTCTACACTAAAAGGAAATTCAATTCTCTCACTGAGAAGCATCGTAAAGACATTAATTTTGTGGGAGGTTTATTTACAGGTTATTGCAGATTAAATAACTAAAGATACAAGAATTACACGAATTTCCAGTAAACAGCATTTTAAAGTTCGCCAAAGGTTCCAGGTGGTTTTAAACTCTGAGTTTGCCGATTATATGGTAATACAACGGGCCAATAGGCCTAAGTTAATCTTCTTTGGATCGCCGGGATAACTTAACGTAACCTACAGCATGTCAAAGCAAAGTCCTAATTTTAATACCAACTTTTAGTCGTTTAAATATCTTTTAAAATAATATAGCAGTAGACCAATACTTGTACTTAAATGGTCAAGCAAACTTTATTGTTTAATATTTGTAATTCCGGAAAACCACATTTTCTCAAAGCTTTTAAATTTGTAAGCTTGTAAGAATTTTTTTACTTTTTTCATGCATCGTTTTTCAGAAAGTGACCTCTGAAACGAGTTAACAACTGTTTTTTCAGTAAACATTTATAAATTTATTTATTGATACTCATACGCACTAGAGAATTGAATGAACTATTATACGCAATTTTTTTGGGTTCCCATTTCGCATATTCGATAGATTTTATCAGCATTGACTAATTTAGAACTGGAAGATATTGATGAAAGGAAAGATGATACACTACAGGAGAGCAAATAATTAACGACGTTATTTTTATACGATTGTAGACTGTTGGATCAGATATGTATATCTTGCTGAAAGAAGATTAATGATAAGTAAAAAAATGATAAGTAAAAATAACATTAATATGCTTAAATGTCGATTACCAGAACACTACAGTTGGTAGATATGCGGATAATCGCCACATAATATTAAATAGCTAATCATCAACAGAGCTAAATGAACTTATAAATAAATCTGATTAAGGTAAGCATAGTGTTATAGAACTATAAAAACTGTCTCAACAAACTTCATTCATCAATCTTCATGTTGTCATATTTTGATATTCACATCATGTGAAACTTTTGACATAAAATACGATATCAGCACCCGAATTGAATTGAAAGTTAAGAGGTTTCTGAGTTTTCAAAATTATTTTTAAAATCATATGAATGATTAAAAATCTTTCATATAAAAAAATAATATATATTGGTTAATTTTCTATACAACATTGTTAATGCTAACAATTACAACATATGGAAGACGATCAAAATTTGAATCAACTCGAAAAAATATATATATTAGATTGGCAGAGATATGTAATAAAAATTTTTAAAGAATGAAAGCTGAAGAAACTGAAATATTCGGAAATTCAGAAAATTGTATAAGTTGGATTTCAAGATATAACTATAACATTGTGGATTTAATGGAAACCTTTTGTGAGAAACAGAGTGTTAAACAATGGAGTCTTCCTATAAACTTTTCTATACCACCACAAGGTGGTTTTATAAAATATGCTTCATTTATTTTATAAGAAATAGTTAAAGATTGACAGTCTGCTCTGTACTAAAAATCTTGAATGATTATAAAATATTTTTAATCTCTGGATATTGTTCATAATTTCTATCTTTCGTTAAGTTTTAAGTAGATGAATGTAGAACCTCGACTTATTACTTATTATTTTTTTGTTTAAATTGAAATCATTATTAGTATTGTTTATTTTGATCCCTACTTGCATGTATTCCTATATACAAATATATATTATCAACATTATAAGAACAAATTATATATTTGCAATTGCAATAATAAATTATAGGTGGTTGATGTTGAAAATAATATATTTGAAGATCAATATAATATAAAAATTAAGCAATGACAAAAAAATAAAGATAATATCTGAACGCGCTTAGGATTTAAACATGAACAGTCAGAATCGAATAGAACACGGCTATGTAATATTTTCAAAATTTTTTTAAAAAGTTTAATTAACTATTGACCAATTACCCCATAAAAAAACAAAATTATTATTAAAATTTTTTTGGTCATTAAAACAATAAATTAATAATAAAATTTAAAAAAAACGTTTTAGTGATTCATGGTAACTTCTTATATAAAAAAACAACTTGAAAATTTGAGGGTTTGGTCGATAAAAAAAAGTTTTAAATTATGGAGTTCATATCTACATATAATGTGTCTGTTTCCAGTAGTTATTGCATGTGTTTAGGTTTTATCGACATTGAATACTTTACATAGCCGACATCAAATTTAAAAGGAGAAGTAGTAATAGGGTTGTGTTAACAACTATATTTAAAGAAAATATCGATTATATTTCTACATATATTGATTACCAGAACTTAATCGTTGTATAGTGAATTAACTACTAAATTCATTTACGATTGTAAAAATCGGTATATACATATCAAACATAATAGAAGTAATGAAAAATAAGTTCTCATACCCAATTATGTGTACTATTGGGGGCTAAAATATTCTATTAAGTATTTTCATAGGATTATTCATCCATATTTCATTTGATAGTGATATGGTTGTTTGTTTCCATTACTTGCATCGCCACTTCACGTGGGGTAGTAGCGCTAGATTTCGTGACAATGTGTTTTGTTGTTTTGTTGGTTCGTTTTTGTTGAACTTTGTGATAGTTTGTTGTTTACAACCTACGATTGTGACAATATTAAGTTGTTCATTGATGATTTCTTTCTTATTTCACTTGTGACAACGAAGGCGTAGAGTCGTGTCTGATACATTAGTTGCTAACGTACGCGCAAAAATATTCTCTGAGTTCCTAAACTACAGTATTTTACGAGTATATATTGTATATTTAGAGATAAAAATTTAGAGAATCAAAATCTTTTTTGAAAGAAATAGTTATGGATGCAATTATAATTATTGACTGAAAATAAATTAAACTAAATAAATTAATATCAATTTTTTAGCACACGTGCAGTGTTGATATATCAAATTTAATTATGAAGATACATATATAAGTCATTCAACGTTTTAATTTACATGTGAGATTTATAAGAAAAAAGCTTTTGAAATTGAAAATAAATACTTTATTGCAAACAGTTTTTTTTTGAAATTTTAAGTATAAAAACTGCGTTCTTAACGCAGAAGGGAGTGAATTATTTTTACTACAAATTTTTCTCTGGTTTGATTTGTCATTGTGAAAGTAAATAGTAAATGAAAATACACATAAAATTTATATAAATAATAAAGTGTGAATTATAAGTAATAATGCTAAATTATTAAAAGTGTTTGAGCTTCATGAAAAGTTGTTGTGATAAAACTAGAAAAATACGATTTTAATTATAAAAGTCTACATATTAGGCTTTTGATAATACAAAATTTGAAATTCTATCAAATTAAAAACATTTTGTTAATTATAAATATATTTTATTATAAAATTTTGTAGTTAAATGTTTCAAATGCACATTACGACTGCAGATAAAATAGCGCTTATTAAATACTGTGTATATAATTATTGGACTTAATTCTATATAAGGATAACATCGGTTGTGTATTAGTAATTAAACTATCTGTTAGTTGAATGTGGAACTTCTTAAATCCTTCTTAAATCATTGTAAACGTATTAATGCAAATACAAGACTTTGTTATAAGTTTATTTGGACGACTCTTGCAAAAAATTAACAATCAAAAAAATCATATAATTTTGAAAGAAATGTTTTTGGCGCCTATAGTTTTAAATATCACATATCTAATTTTCTTTGAATTTATTTTAGAGAGTAATACGTGCCTATAAAATGACTGAAAACGAACCATTAAACGAACATGATACTTGTAATGGACAAATTTTACCAACAAATAAAATTAATGGTTTTAAATTATGTACAAATCAAGAACAAGAACAAATAAATGAAAAAGATCAATTTACGGATCATATCGAAGCGCCTTGTTGTCGTGATATACATGGCAAGGAACCTCCAGATGGTGGTATACGAGCTTGGCTTGTTATGCTTAGCGCTTTCCTTTGCAATGGTGTCATTTTTGGAATAATAAATACATATGGTTCTATCCATGCATTACTTACAGATCGTCTAACAGAACAGGGCGATAAAGATGCATCAAGTAAAGCTGGTAAGTTAATAATTATAAAAATAAATTAAGATTAAAGCAAATGCATGGTTTCTAGTGATCCATTTAAGTCTATTTACCCATTAAGTTACTGTATATACATTAAAGGGTTTATTATAATCTAAAGTATTCATTAAAGTCTATCGTGCTTTCTACATAGATTTTCTAAATTTGAACAAGATAAAATGAAAGTAAGTCACTAGTATTTAAAATCAACATACACGGATCAGTGACAATGCAGATGCGATGCACTCTTCTTGTCCTTCACATATTTGCAGCAATAATGATTTAATATAAAATTAAATGATTTCCATGGTTTAGTTTCCATATCTAACCACTCAACAAAGCCACACAAAGACTATAATTTTTATCCACATCTCAATTAGTGTTAGTTTTTTTTTTATTTAAAAATCCTTCTTGGGTACAGATGTCTGCATAATGTTAGCGGCATGCCAGATGCTAGTGATATGCCCAGATCTTTTAGGTGTGTTCGAATGCGTTATTGGGAAAACTTTTATATCTAAATTCAGATTAGAAATATATTGAACTGAGTCGAGATTTTCTTCAAAGATGTGTAACAATCAAAATCAGTTCTAGATGTGAATTAAACTGAATTCAAAAATTATAAAATAGTTTGTTATTATAATTTTGTATCTATTCAGTGTATTATCCAATCCAAACCAAGGTATAGCTTTCATAATATTAACAACTTTTACCAGATATTGTAAACTTAGTAATTAGAAAGCTTTTAATATTTAATTATTACCCATTTTCCAAAGAAGCTATACTATTTAGACTATCTATTTTAGAGCCATCATTTTAAAACAATATAAAAATGTATTTACTGTATAAATAATTAGTATAACTTTCTGTATCATAAATAATGTATTTAAAGTAATAAACTTTAAATTCTAAAATAATACAATAAATCTAATGAAAGTACAATACTTTACTGTATGTTTATTAATTACTACGCATAAATGCTATAAATCTCTTAATCCAAAAAAGTAAATAAAAAACATTATTTCGATTTTTCATATTTACTGAGATACAAAGTAGATATCTAACACATCCTTATACTTAAATTGGTTCAGATATTATAGTTGAAAGATGATTTTTGTAGCTAATATTTTCCTTGACATTTTGTAAACATTTTTATTGTAATAATACTTTTGACTATTCAAATTAATCACTTTTAAGCTAACTGCATGTTATCTCTTTTAAAATGCAGATAGAGGTAGAGGTCTTTTAAATAGCCTTTAGGAAATATTTTCGCAATTATGTGAAACAAGACACAAACACATTGTATATAATAATTAATAAAAATATTTAGTAATTTATTGTTTTAATGACCATTGATCAATAAATATCTAGATTAATATAAATATTTAATTAATTAATAGATATCTATTAATCTAGATTCAAAAATTTTAATATCTAGAAATCGGTAACGATTTATAAATTGTATAAATTAAATTTTATAAATTAAATTTTATCTAATATTCTATTTAAAGATATTGCCAAATATATAAATAATTTATTAATTAATATTTATATATCAAACAATTATAATTTTTCATAAAAATTTGTTTTTTTTACGGGCTAATTGGTCAGTATTTAAATAACAAACTTTTAAAAAAAATTTATTTATTTTTAAAAGATTTTATTTTATCCGATATTTTGACTATAATCTATACCCTGATGATGACTATATATTATAGTCGAAATGTCGGTTAAAATAACATCTTTTAAAAACAAATAACATTTTTTTAAAAAGTTTATTATTTAACTATTGACCAATAAGCCCGTAAAAACAAAATTATTATTAAAAATTTTTAATAAATAATGAATGATGGATATATGGAAATAACTTTTATAATAAAAATATTTACATGCATTCCAATATATTTTTTTACTAACATTAATCTGACATTAATTTATACAATCTATTAGTACGATAAAAATAATTTTAGTATTTAAATGATTGTGCAGAATATTTATATAGATTTTGATAAAATTGTCGGTACACGTTATTTTTATTCTTTAGTGCGTTCAATTATTTTGATTGCTTTACAAAGAATCACTTAGCAGTTATACTTATTTCGAATATATTTAGGAAAAATAAAAATGAACAACATAAAATTCAAGGAATTTATGCATTGATTTGGTTTTAATGAAAACCACATAAACTGAACAAGTGCCCTACAAGTGAATATTTCCAAGAACAAAAATAAATAACGTCTCATAAAAACTATTTGTCAATGCATTCATGACTTTTGTCAAGGTTCTTGTCACCACTATTTTTTTAGTTGCGAAGGCTTAGAGTACCCTTCGTTAATTCAATGAAAATATAAAACTGACAGTACGTATTCATACTGCCAGTTCGCGAAACTTAACCCTAAGAAAATTGTTAGTGTTAGTATAACAAATTTTAAGTAGAAAAACAAATTACTGACCCACTAACTATTGCACTAGTTACAGTTGTGGATTTTACTCCATCATGGAAACCATACAAGTGCTTTTACTATTAATCCGTAGTTATTTGCATTAGTTCCGCGATATGATCAAGCTTTGGTGGAAATTCGAGCACTTTTAAAGTATAAAATACAAATACAGAAAAAATGAGGTATTTTCATCGCAATGCGTTTCGCCATAATATACATACATATGTACTCACACATCGTCTTATAAGAGAAGATTTTTACAACTTTTTGTTATTGTTTATATTTTAGTTGAATACAAATATATATCTATTATTTGAATAATTTCATATTTATATTAAGAGTTAAAATTTAATAAGTTTTAAAATATTTAATTTTCAATAATGTTATTGTAAATGAAGTGACGTCAAAGTGGGATGTGTTTTGTTATGTTTATGCTTCGATTCAATTAGACTTAATTTATTTTATGAATCAAGTAAACAGATCGAATTTCAATTTCAATTATGAGACTTTCATTGTATTATTCCCGTTGAGAAATTGAAGTAATACGAGCAATGTATAATTGATAAATGTCAATAACAGCGAATTAATTTCAATACTTTATAAATTCATATCTTTAAAGTTTATTCTTATAGTATGGTTTACTTTTAATTTGTAATTTTTTTTACATAAAATTATTTTTAAAATATATGCGAATACTTAAACAAATACTTAAACATGCGCTAATAAGAAAACTAAAAGAAAAAAATTAAAAAAAAATATGTGAGTGTATCTTGTGTTTATTCTTTGGCGTACGTTCAAAAGTTTACGGAAGTATTTCGAACGTTTGCTATTCCTTGACATAGACTCATTTCGCATGTTCTTATACTTGCACTGAGTTTATTCTACTAGTAACTAGATCATGGGTAATATGTATAAAAATATTATTTTATCATTATGCGTATTTTAAACACCTATGAATGCAATATCATAGATGGAATTATGAAATATGAAATAATAAATATTTCTTTTTTTTTATACTTTACATACACATATTGTCGAAAGGTTACTAAGTTTATGAAAATTAGAGAAAAGCAATAGAAAAAAATTAAAAAGAAATTTATTCTTAGATATAGATATAAACTAACCTAGAAAATGATGAAGGAAATACAGTCAAACTTCCATAACTATAACTCCTATTATCTATAACTCGAATTAAAAAGGGTGCAACAGGGTTTAGAGAGCAAATTATACACGATTCGAAGTCTCCATAAGTCGAAACTTTTCTTTCCAAAATGGAATTTTGACTGTACTATAGAAAAAACACATGTGAAAACACACAGAAATCCTTAATATCTTAAAAACCGTTTGTCTCAATAATGTTATACATTAATTTTTAGTTTATTAAATATTCGTTAAAATGATATCTAATGTAGGTCGACCTCAAGGTGATTCAAATAAAGTTTTAGATCAATTTTGCGGAAAATGCCAATTTTTGTTAGTTTTTTTTTGCTTATTATATCAATACCTTAATAGTTTATAAATATATTACATTAGTCATTAATAAGCATTTAAATTCTTACTGCAGATGACATCTACTATATTTTGCAATTTTTAAATTTGAGTCATGAACTATTACTTATTATATGATATAATACTTCTGCAAATTTTTTTGCTTTTCCTGTAAGGAACAGTACAGAATAATATAATTTAATTTTATTTAGTCAAAAAACACGTTTTTTTAAATAATTATATGATGAATTTAAATAACACAGTTATTCATTACGGAAACATTTTTTAGGGTGTTTGGCAAAACTTGGAAGTCATTCCTATAAGCACATTCGTTAGAGAAAAGTTCAAGCATATAAAAAAAACTGACAAAATTGCAGTCTTTAAACAAACTATTTAACAGAGGAATCTCCGCTATAGGAGAGTTCGTTATAGAAATGTCAGACTTCAATTTGAATTGTTATGTTAATATTATTATAATATTAAAGCTTTGACGTGAAATCGCCCAACTGCTGGTACTACGACCAGAAGAGTCCTATTTTACCAATTTCACTATTGATTACACAAAGCCCTTTAAAGCTTTGTGAACAGTGAGGGAAATTCTATATGAAACAAGTTTCCTCTGTGCGTTATTAATGTTGGACAGTCACAAAGAGTATGCATAGTATTTACTCATCTTCAAGGCATAATCTGCATTCTGAATTAGCAGATAATCGTAGTTTATGAAGATGATATTTCAGGCCATAATGATCTGTAATGAAACCCGTTATCAACCTTAAATCACATTTTGAGAATTTAGGAATGTTTTTGTAGAAGTACAGTTTTATCAGTGCTTTGCTTTGTCTAAGTCCTGGGAAGTCTTCCCAGTACTCAGTCGCATATGATTTTCCCTCTTCTTAATAATTTGTTTTGTACTGGCCTAGTTTAATCCACAAAAGGGTTCAGTTTTTGATGCAGTTTTGGCTAGCTCATCAGCTTGTTCATGAATTGTTATATTACATGCTTTATAAATTGTTGTATATTTATTTTAAAAGTTTTCAAATTTAATGTTTAAAAAATGAAATTTAACATCTT